CGAGCGCGTCGCGAGGCCCTCCCCGATGTCCTCTCTGGGCTCCCCCACCTCCGCGACCTCGTGCTGCCGATCAACAAGGGCTTCGAGCCCGTCGAGAGGGTGCCCGAGGCGTTCTCCTCCGGCGTGCCGAGCGATCAGCTCTTCGAGATGATCCCCCACGAGGCCAAGTCCTTCGTCATCTGGCGCCGCGAGAACGGCGTGATGCAACGCATTGGCCGCGCGCGAGCCGCCGCGCCAGCGGTCGTCGAGTGGCGCTGGCGCCGCGAGCGCGCTGCCGACGTGGCCGACGAGCTTCAGCAGGACAAATAGATGGACGAGCGCTCCAAGCATTGCTACGCAATCACTGAGAGGCAGCTCCGCTTCGAGACAATGGCTCTCGACCAGCGCATCAAGACGAGTTGCCGAAGATTCGGCAAGATCCACGACGACCGCGAAAATGTGCCCAGCCAGCGCGAGCCCAAGAAGGGCCGGGCCGACGCGAAGGCCGAGCCAGAGGCCGACCTGTCGACGCCGAAGGGCGCCTGAGAGCCGAGCGGCGGCGAGCGGCGAGCGCCAGGCGTGCGGGCGTCCCGATCCAAGCGCCCCCGTGCCTTTCGCTACGAGGGTGCCGCGCGAGCGTCTCGAGGCGCGCGCTCGAGCCCCGTCTGCTTCCAAGCTCCAAGCGAGCGTTCGAGCGCGCGCGAGTGGCGTTCCTAGCTGCGGGGCACTACTCCACCCTCTCGCCGAGTGACCCTCGATCCAGCGTCGAGCAATCAAGCGGGCTCGATCCTCCATCCTCGGATCGAGGATCCGAGATCTTGGTTCCGAGAATCTTCGAGCACCTCGGATTCTAGATCCGAGGATCGCCAAGCTTGGACTCGAAGATCTCGTGTTCGTGATCCAAGGATCGAGGATGGAACCTCGGCGATCGTCGATCGCCCCCGTCGCCGTCGTCAGGCCCAGACAGCCATCGAGGAGGCTCGATTTTCGATCCTATGATCGAGGACCCGAGATCCTGTATTTGAGCATCTTTGAGCGCCTTGGATCCTATATCCCAGGATCGCCACGCTTGGGCTCGAAGATCTCGGTTTCGCGATCCGAGGATCGAGGATCGATCCTCGGCGATCGTCGATCTCCCTCGTCGCCGTCCTCGGGCCCAGACTGCCATCAAGCAGGCTCGATCCTCGATCCTCGGATCGGGGATTCGACATTATGCTTCCGAGCACCTTCGAGTGCCTTGGATCCTAGATCCGAGGATCGTCAAGCTTGGACTCGAAGATCTCGGGTTCGCGATCCGAGGATCGAGGATCAATCCTCGGCGATGGTCGATCGTCCCCGTCGCCGTCCTCGGGCCCAGGGCGCCATCGAGGAGGCTCGATTCCCGACCCCCGGATCGAGGGCCCGAGATCTCGGTTCCGAGCATCTTCGAGCGCAGCGCCTTGGATCCTGGATCCGAGGATCGTCAAGCTTGGACTCGAAGATCTCGGGTTCGCGATCCGACCATCGAGGGTCGAGCCTCGGCGATCGTCGATTTCCCTCGTCGCCGTCCTCGGGCCTAGACGGCCATCAAGCAGGCTCGATCCTCGATCTTCGGATCGAAGATCGGAGATCTTGGTCTGGGGCATCTGCGAGCTCGTCGGATGCTATATCCGAGGATCGCCAAGCTTGGACTCGAGGATCGTGGGTCCTCGATCCGGGACTCGAGGATCGAGCCTCGACGCCTGGCGGTCACGCGCGCGCGTACGCGCGCGCGCACAAGCACAATAACACGCGCACACGCACGCACACTCACACACTCACGCACCCACACGCACACGCACACGCACGCATACACGCACACACGCACGCATACATACACACAAACAGCGCGCACGCACACTCGCGCACACACGCACACACTCGCTCAAACACACGCACACGCACGCGCGCTCTCGAACACACACAGACACATTTACACACGCACTCACATATTCACACACACAACAACAAAAACACAAACAATAGCAGCCACGACAGCGACAGCAACCAGCAAAGCAACACCACCAACAACAACACAATCAATGACAATCACAACGACAGCACCAGCAACCGGTGCAACAGCAAGCCACAACAGCAACAAGACAAACAACAACAGCACAAACAACAGTTGCCACGACAGCGCAGGCCAAGCCCGCCGCGTCGCCGATGCATCGCCGAGGCCCGCCGATGCATCGCCGAGGTGGTGCAGGCTATGTGGTGCAATGGGCGCAAGCTCTGTGGTGCAAGCGCTGTTCGGGTCAAGCCCGCTGAGGACGCAACATTTTCCGTGGCCCATTCGGGGTCAAGCATTCCAAGCCCGTTCTCCGCCCCGGCAACGAGGGTGGCCGAGCTGGACAGCGAGAGCGTCGTCTCGCCGATGTTCCTCGTCGAGCAAACGCAGGGCGACGAGCGGGCGCCGGGCGGCGCGCAGACCGAGAATTTCGAGGCGGTGAAGACCGAGGGCGGCGTCGAGCAGCACGAGGGGGCGCAGCCAACCGCGCTG